GAAGAAGAAGAAGAAGAAGAAGAAGAAGAAGAAGAAGAAGAAGAAGAAGAAGAAGAAGAAGAAGAAGAAGAAGAAGAAGAAGAAGAAGAAGAAGAGAAGGAGAGGCACAAAAGAAAAGGTATTGTTTTACAGTTTAGGCAGGAAGTTGTACCCCTAGTACTGCTGCTATTCCCATTAATTGTTAAGCGGCTTCTGCGTGTGGGCGCAACTTCTTACCGTGAAGGACTTCACGTTAGAGAACAAACGAAGGAAGTAAATTGTTGTTTATAACATGAATTAGCTTGGACTAATTTTAGAGGAGTAAGCAAGAATGGTTTTGCAGGAGCAGATGCATTGCCTATAGGAACAAATAGATGCAACCGCTGCTTTCTAAGAAGGGACTAGCCTCTATATAGAACCCCTGGGCACAAAAATTCTAGACACAAAATCTGAAAAGCAGAGAACTGCTGGTGCAATATCGCTGCGTGTGTGGGGAGATAGATGACAGGCGCAGAAACACTGCGGGCAAGTTTTAGAGACGTTTGTGAAAGCGCAAGCAGCACCAGCCCCTCTTCTAGAAACGTGATTCTCAACTAGAGACTAACTTTTGCAATAAACAACAGGACAAGCTCATTTTGAGAGCTAAAACCGTGGTAGCGCCAACACCCCATACAGTGGCGCAAAGAAACATGAGCGGCATCCTTCCTTCACCGTAGCGACAGTTACTAATAAGTTTAGGTAAGTTAAATATAATGTGATTTTTAATAATAGTGCAACAATGCTGTAACAACTACGCAACAACCTATAAAATTTCCTAAGACAATGCGACACAGGATGGTATCTACAATAGAATAACGTTAAGCACAGACTAGAAAATAAAGCCTTTATCTGGCACTTAGCGTATTATCGCGTCTAAGAAAGACAACATCTCACTCCTAATTCTCTGCAGCAAAGAACAAACTGCCTTCTTCTGAGCTCCTGTCTTCTCCCCTCGAACATGCTGTCTTCGTTGCTATACAAAAGCTGTAGAAGGGTTAGCTGTTTCTTCAGCTTATTAATTATTCTAGTTAACTATGGGATCTTAGTCCTTCTTTTTACTTTTTACCTTTTTCTCGTTTCTCGCGGTCTTTTTAGCTAAAATATAGTAAGTTCTGCGTTATAATAAGCTTTTACTACTTTATAAATAGTGTATCTATGTTGCTAATTATTCTTATTTCCTTACACTCTTAAAGCTAAAGAACTATAACTAACCTTACAGAGTACTTTACATAGGTAGAGAAGAACCTTACACAGGCTATTACTTGATCTATTCCTTAATACAAACTAGTTTATATTATATTAGAATTAATCTTATTATAATATCTCAAGTAAGTAAGTTCTTAAAAGGAGAGATTTAGAGTATAAAAATGGTTCACTCGAGGATGGACGCTTCAAGAACTCCTCGGTAATAAGAGTTCGCGTGTTTAGGAGATGGTTGAAATCACATGCATACTTACTGAACCTCTCTAGGGAAAAACTTTGTCACACTTCAGCATTGAGGAGCGGTTGACATGGGCTGGAGAACGAAAGCCGACGCGTGAAGAAGATATGGCCTATTCTCTGCTGGGCATCATCAACATTCATATGCTGCTCATCGACGGTAAGGGGAAAGAAAAGGGATTTAAGCGGCCTTAAAAAGAGATAAAGGAGTCTTTAGGAGACATAGTAGCAATTCCGTCCCAGAACGCGCAGACCAATAACCCGGCTTGAGATACAAGATTTAGAAAGATACACCGCTGGCTTTCGACACCAGATCCGTCTGTAAGCTACCAGAAGGCACTTAAGCAACGACAGCACAATACATGCCTTTGGTTTCTAGGGGGTGAACGGTACGCGAGGTGGAAGATAGATCTGCGTCGTTTTTATGGCTGTACGGGATTCCGGGATGCGGAAAAAGTATCCTTAGCCCAACCATTCTAAAGGATGTTCTCCAACATTGCGATAACAATCCTGGGCAGGTAATTGCGTACTTCTACTTCGACCTCAACGATGTGCAGAAGCAGAACGCCGAGCTGATGCTGCGCTCGTTAGTCTGCCAGCTCTCGTGACAGTCTATCGAAATTCCTGCAAGACTAGACACCCTGTGCTCTTCTCATGAGGACGACAAGCGGTAGCCGCCACCAGATGCACTCCTAGAAGTAACGCGCCAGACGATGCAAAAGTCGCCACAAGTCTACATCATGATTGACGCACTAGACGAATGCGCCCAGCGTGCCGAGCTGATGGAGATACTTGAAACCATGGCTGGGGGGCAGCTTCAGAACGTGCATCTGATTGTGACAAGCTGCCGAGAACGAGATATCGAGAGCTCACTAGAGGGATTAGTGGAACCGCAGAACAGCATCTGTCTCTAAAGTGAAGTGGTCGAAAAAGGCTGTCTGACGACAAAGGCTTGAGCAAGTAGGGAAAAGACATTGCTCTTCGGTATGAGATTGAGACTCCCATGCTAAATGGAACTAAAGGAATGCATGTCTCCTGAGGAGTTGCTGGGGTTCAACGCTAACGACCGTGCTGGGTTTTGATGGGCTTTGTGACAGCTAGACACGCTGGGAAAATGTCGCAATCGAGCGATTCCGCGGAAATCGCTTGCAACACTACCACCGACACTAGATAAGACATATGACCAGATTCTGTGCGCTATCCCTGAAGAGGATTCCGGCTACGCCATCCGTGTCTTGCAATGGCTGGCATTTTCGGAGCGACCACTCTCAGTGGAAGAGGCAACGCTCTCAACCGTACGAATTACGTTTCATACTTTTCGTCTCAGTACTGTCACGTGAGCCGTAGCAAACGTAGTATAGTCCTTGTACGTTTTGTTTTGTCTTGTAAGTTATAGCTGTAGACTATACTGCGTCTTAAAAGCTTAACTTTTAGGTAGGGATTGCCTATTAGCTTAGACATTAATAGGTAGGGACTTATAGCACTGTTAGACAAGTTTTTTAATAAGCTAGTTATTAATTAAGGGGTAAAATTACTTAATAACCTAGGTGCAGCATTTTTTACTTAAATTAACACTGCTAAATCTTTTTATATCTTAATATTATGTTAACTATGTGTAATTTCCTTAGTTAATAAGCTTTTACGTAGAGCACTAGCTAGTTACAGAGCTCTTAGAGCTCTTAGTTAACCTAAGGTAGTAACATAATCTATTACACTTATTCCTATTACCTAGAGAAGTTATAATTATTATTATTAAAGTTCTTATTCTATAATAGCTTTCTAGCTCTTATATATAATTCTTATATAAAAAAACACTTTAAAAATTCTTTTTTTAATCTAAGAGTTATATTTCTAATAAAGTAGAATAATATATAGCTTGCTAGTAAAAAGCTAAAAGCAGAAAAGCTAAGTTACTGCATAAAACACTTTTCTTAGCTCTAAGGTAATAAGAAGGTGTTAGTAGTATAGAACTATAAAGCTAACTTGCTATACACTAGAGAAAGCTTAAAGGTAAAGCTCTAGCTTTGCTAACTCTGCTATTATAAAGGTAATTATGCTGCTACTAAAATAGTTAACAGCTATAGCTATATTAGCTACTATCTTAAAAAAAAGCATAAAATTAATATTAGTAGTAATAAAAGTTTTTTACCTAATTTTTTTTATACTCTACTTAATCTTTAGGCAGCAACAGCTGCTATAGTAGTAGGCTTAGCCTAAGTTGCTTTCTATAATCCCTAGTAAGAAGAGTTGTTGCAGAGGTTATTAGTAAACTAGGTTATACTTTATAATATATTATTTATAACAGTATTTTTAGCTAAACTTTAAGGCTTTTTTACTTAGAACTAACTAGATCTTCTTACTACTATCTTAAGCTTAAATATAATAATATTATTATATATAAAGCAAGAGTTAACGCGCTAGAAGAAAGAAATTTAAACAATATTAAAATTAGCTAAGTTAAAAGTAGCATTAAGTGTTAATATATAAACTTTACTAAACTACTTTTTTTTTTTTAGAGTAGTAGCTTACTTCTTTAGTAAGTTTAGTAAAACCTTAGAAGAGCTATTTTAGTGTCTTAGCTTAGAAAACTAATAACAAACAACAACTAACTTTTACTTTATAGATGTTAATTATTAATAATAAGACTTACTTATTAGCTTCTATAACTTTTATAGTAACTATATAAGGGCTAACTAAGCGCAGGCTATCTTTAAAATTATCTAGGATTATAAAATTATGTTAAAATTTAGTTATTTTATTACTAATAACATATTTAATAATAATAACTTTACTATTAACACTTTAGCTAAATATCTTAGAGTTAACTTTAATAAAGAGCACTGTATACACTGTACAGGCTACATAATCTAATTAGTGCTAAAGGCAGTTATCTATAGTAAAGGATTATTATAATTTAAAGCTACTCTTATAAACGTAGCTTTCTAGGATTAGTTTAAGCTTTATTATAAACATAAAGTTGTTAGTAAGCTACATAACTTTATTAATGCTATCCTTTTATTTGTCAGATATGCGCACCTACTGTCAAGACAGGAGGAACGTTTGACGAAAGCTGCTACATAGTAC